CATAGCGTCACACGAGTCGACAGGATGGAGACCTGCCTGCCTCTTCATCAGTGGGTCAGCATCGACGCATTTTTCCGCAAGACACCCTGACCACACATGAACTATTGTACTATTGTACAGGCGCCTAGCAGTACACATCGACGAACATCATGTCAGAACCATCTGCTGACCTTCCCATCCCCAAGTACACCGGAGCAGCAGACGATGGACCTGTACAGGACTGGTTCAACCTGTTAGAGCTCCACGCTACCGCTGCATCATGGTCGGAACGGGAGATGGTCGTCAACTTTACCGACTACATCTCCGGTGAGGCCTTCAAATTCTACCTTACCCACATATTTCAAAACGACGAGTCATGGAAAACGATCAAACAAGAAAGGATCGTTTGGTTTAAAGAATACAATGACGACTACGACGAAGACTTGCTTATAACCCACCATCCACAATCACGCTCGGTCGTCACAGTGAAAAGCAGCCTTCGTGCATTGACCAACCCTCTGCTTTTCCATCGCGTGGATCTTCGGTCGCTCACAGCGCCCACCTCGCGTCTCACACGTTCACTATGGCCGGAATACAGCAGAGAAGCTCGGAGCATACTCAGTCAAGCCCGGGACCTACAGTTCAGTTTCATGCACTAGAAGAGCTCGCATCGTTTGTTGCACAGAAAGGCAGCCATTCCCAACTGGAATTTGACCAAACCACGCCTGCGACGGCGTCGCCATTGAGAGCGCAGCCATCTGAAAGCCCAAACACAGGAGGCTCGGAAGCGACTCCGACAGGTTAACAGGTGCAAGAAGCCTATGTAATCAATGATGCCGAAGGCGCCTCTGATGTTCCTCCAGTTAAATCTGTCCTACCAACTCCACTGCCTGAAAAGCGTTGCAACAGCTGCCGACTGGACACTACATCAATTTGTAAAGAAAGCCGGCATGATGTTCAAAAAGCGCTCCCACCTCAGCAGGTTCCAATGCAACCACAGCAACGCCAGCAAAAGCGAGTCCAAGGATACGAGACACTCCAACGGATACACCAAACAAGGAGAACGACGCAAAGCGAGCCTCTTAAAGCAAACTCAAGACGTGAGGCATATACGCATAAGGTATCGGCGCCACAAACGCATTTGGCACAAGAGATCAATACTGCGCCTACGATTACAGCTCCGAAACCACAGAAAACGACGCAAGAGACGAAAAGGCATCATCTGTAGAACGCAGATACCAATACACCATTCCGTCAGCCGCGACCATCGCACTCGCAGACTGGAAGCACACCTTCTGTTCCCGCCACGACGCACAATTCGACGCATGAGTCATCCAACCTTCCAACGCTACAAGGATTCCCAACCTCGTTGGGAGTCCTTGTACTATAAAACATGAACAAGTGGTGTCTTATCATAGGAAAAAATATCATAAAATGAAGTAGTTCCATGTAAGACGGCAGTTCCATGCAGTTGCACAAAAACGTTCACAGGAAAGGCAGTCCAGTGACATCTAGGAGACCTCAGGTGGGCGAGGTTGGCTGTTGGGTTCTGGAGAGCATAACCATGCATTCGACGTGGAAAATGAGGATGACACAGCCTGGAGAGTAGTTGAAGTGTGGCCTCTTCTATTAGTTCCGGCAATGGCACGTCATGGCCGGGTTTGTTACGAAGGCCCTGGTTGAAGATAAGAAAGTACACTTGCTCCGGGCCAGAGGAAACGAAGATGAAGTATGTTTCCACGCCCACACGTTCAGCGCGCTGGCGGGGGTGGAGCAAGACAAGCTTTTATTTCGCCGGTTCTAAAGCTCCTGGTGCTACAATCTTGAAAACAAATATACAATAATGACGGTCATTCCTAAACACCAAGTTCGATTCAATTCTAAAATCTCTTCAGCTTCCCTGTAATAAAGCATTGATTCATTGATTGATTGATTGATTAATTGATTGATTGATTGATTGATTGATTGATTGATTGATTGATTGATTGATTGATTGATTGATTGATTGATAGTTGGTTTCATGGCTCGTTCGGTGTACCAGTGTGTCACTCGGAACTATGAGCCACTGGCAAAAAAGGGAGGTGTCTCTGTGTAATGTGAATAGAGGCAGAACTATGGTGCGGTTTAACGCAAGTCACCAAGCACAACTAATGTCCGGGTAACGCCGATCGCAGGGCCTGTCGTGTCTCGTGCGCCTGTGTTTATAAGGCTGATCTAGATAGTGGTGGTGGGGGGGGGGAAGATAAATAGAGAGGAAATGCAGGGAGGTTAACCAAGCTTGGCTCGGTTGGCTACCCTACACTTGGGGTGGGGGAAAAGGAGAATAATAGAACGGAAAGAGATAGAAAAGAAGAGGAGTAAGAAAGAGAAGCATGAATAGTCAGCTCGAGGCTACACAGCGCGGTATCGCACAGTTATTTCACAAGCGGTCGTGAAGTCTGGTGGTCCTTAAAAAGTACAAGAGGGCTTTCGTGCCTTTGCGCGTACGGGAAGCCGTCGGCCAAGGTCCCAGGATCTTCTCTTCTGTAGGCGGCCGTGAATCCAGCTGACAGAGCTTGGCTTCCATAATACGTCGTTCGGTCTGGTATGCTGGGCAATGACATAGAATGTGCTCAAGCGTTTCCTCGCAGGCACAGATGTTGCATGCCGAAGTGCTCACCATTCTAAGGAGACAAACGCAGATGAGTTATGCTGGGTCCAGCCCGAAATGAGCTGTTTTTTTTTTTAAATACTCCGTGGAATTCCAAACTTCGAAAGTGCAGTGGCAGAAGAGTAAGCTGCGAGCCTTATTTCATTCGTCATTCCAATTTGTTGTGATTTATCATTCTGATTCAAATTGAACCAATTCATTAGTTAACCTTTGCGGCGAGAAGTGAAGTTTCAACTTGACAAAAAAAAGGCCATGATGGAAGATGAACGAGCGTTAAGCTGTGCGCGTCCTCATGCTATCGCTGTCTCGGTTAACAGAAATGTCGAAACACAACTGAACTATCCGCGACGCGGTGAAATCAATATCAAGCTTTGGAACACGGCGCGCAAACCTCCGAGCTTGCGTTTGTTGTCACTGCGCATGCGTCGTTATCTTTACGTAGTCATCATAATCATCATTATATTGACTATGTCCACTGCAGGGCAAGGGTCTCGCCCATGTTTCGCCGAATAACCCGGTTCTGTCTTCGCTACTGCCACGTTAAAGCTGCAAACTCTTTAATCTCGTCAGCGCACCTAACTTTCTGTCTTGCTCTTACGCGTTTGGCTTCTCTTAAAATTCAGTCGGTTAACTTTAACGACCAGTGTTTATCTTTCCTACCCTCTACGTATCCGAATCGGAAAGTGCCTATTATCGCTGATTGTAAGGCATGTCTTGTCTTTCATCCAAAGCTTTCTTTTTTTTGAATTCTGAAACCTACGCAGCATTGCCCTGCAACATGTGGAACGGACTTTAAACTCCTTTTTATTGATTGCTTGATATGTGGGGTTTAACATCCCAAGACTCATTTTACGTGTGCCGTTCTTTCGCTGAGTACATGCGAGTTTGACATTCAGCTGTCATTTACCTGATTACAATCGAAGCTGCCGATATTGGTAAAACGAGCATACGACAACCGAATAAGAGTGGCCCGATCTGGGTCACTTACCAAACATTTGATCCCCTCACATGTGAAAACGGCGTGAGGCCCACCCTTCGCGTGACAACTTGCCTTGAACCGTTGCGATGCCACAGTTGCCTGTTCGGTCTGATCGCACTTACACGATTGCTCTTTTTTTTTTCTCTGATATTTTTCCTGGGTGGGAGTGCAGAATAGACTAAGGCTTCATATACGGACCGCTTAGCGTCCCTTCCGAGGCGTTTGATTTTACGAACACAGAAAGCACGTGGGGACTCCTTGTGCAATCACCTAAGACGATTGGAACGCGTTTCAGCTCAATCGATGTATTTGTTGATCCCTCCAAGCCCAACTCAGAAAGATTTGTCCACCTCGCGTGGTTTTGTACTTCCCCCTGAATCGAAGGTGCTACAAACTTCTTTTTACACTTCATGCTTTCCTTCTCAGTCATTCTGATCCTGCCATGCCTCTGTCCGAAAGTTATTGCACCGAGCATTGTTTTTTTCGTGGCTTCAAAGATCGGAGGCATTGCGACCTTTCTGTACTTATGATTGTTTTTCACGGCCTCCGTGATCGGTCCACGTGTGACCGAGAGACGAGGGCACGTGATGACATCATCAACTGACGTCACGTTATGTGACGTCACATTTTGCGGCGATCTCTTACGTGATGGTGAAGTGACAGGTCGACGCCATCTTGCAATGACAAACTTTCGCATAACTCGCGTTGATGTCGCCGTCACCGATGGTTAGTTGTCATGTTTGATAGGGTGTCTAGGGCTTTCGCTTAACTAGGAAAAAATTCACTGCAAATCTATGCAGTGGGTGATGATGAGTGGAGCGAAGCGTTCGTCCGTCCGTGTGTCCATCCATCCATTCGTTCATTTATGCGTTCACCCGCGCGTCCAACTGTCCCTCCCTTTGTTCGTGAGTCCATCTGTCCATCTGTCCCTCCCTTTGTTCGTGAGTCCATCTGTCTGTCTGTCTGTCTGTCTGTCTGTCTGTCTGTCTGTCTGTCTGTCTGTCTGTCTGTCTGTCTGTCTGTCTGTCTGTCTGTCTGTCTGTCTGTCTGTCTGTCTGTCCACGAGCACGAACCTCCGCGGCCTTCCACGCCTGCTGCTCTGCTTCGTCTATGTCCCACCAACGATCCGACACGTACGGCGACGATCCAGGAGACTGAGAGAGGCACTCGTTCTCCCTCGCACAAATGCACAGCACCCGTGCAGCAGCCAATGAGAGTAGCGGTACAGCGCTGTCTAGGATATACTCACACAACTGCAGTTTGTATGTACTTCTAGGAGACAGCGCCATCTATTGTACTGTTCCTGAGATACTGCCAGCTACGCCTGACACGGGACAAGGTTAGAATAAGAGGAGATTTGCTCCTTAAAAAAATATCACCCTTTGAGAAGACATGGGCTCAAGCTTCACACTGGAGGAGTGCGGTCGAGATGCTTCTACGCAGGCGCCCGCTCTCACTGATCAGCTCCCAGCTATCCAGCGGGCCCGTGAGGTGGCTGGCGGGTTCGGCTTGCCGGTTCTTACGTGGGTCTGAGCCGGGTGCGTGACTCAGTCGCGTTCCGCAGGTCCAAAATAAAGTTATTTTTCTCCCTTCCTTCCTTCCGGTTGCAATGCCTGAAAGCAAAGTTCCTCAATGCTTCTTGGCACGAACCCTATACGGGTTTGTGAAAGCAACGTGTCAGCTTTTCTTAATTGTTCTTTGCCAATCGATCTTTCAACGGAGGCTTCCTACACTCAGGTTACACAGCACGTGGTTATATATAGTCAGCGGCTATCGCATCAATCATTTTCCACGGCGCCTACATGATGCAGTGCTTCAGTGCACTCCACGCGACAAGACTGATTGTACCCCGAGGTAGTACAATCAGTGATACGTGACGCACGTTATTAAACGTGTTATAGGACTAATGCTAACGCAATCCTTCGCTTCTGCTTTTTGTCGATATGGGGAAATATCTACTTTTCATTCTGGGGCCTTGCGTGCCAACGGCGGGATAGCACAGCATTGAAGGACATTGGTATTTCGAGGCATGCCGCAGTGGTACAGGTACAGAGATAATAAGCATGTCCATTGGAAGGAAGCGCATGTTACTAAGGCACTCTCCATTAACTCTTATCCCTAACTTTTTTTTTATTCTAGGATTCTGAAAACCTCCTGTAAACACGGAGCCAATGGCATTGGAGAGATCGTATCACTTTTTTCTTACACCTTTCTTTATTGAAATTGTCACTTTATGAAGCACTATAGTGGCAGTCGTATCCGCTGTAGATTTCTTTCGGGATATTTATATATGTTTCGCTGACACCCTGATTCCGCAGTGTCTGCATGGCTGCTGTTTTTCTACTAAATTAAATGCCTTCTCGTAATTTAGGAAGGCTATGTATAGTGGTTGGGTGTATTCGTAGCATTTCTATATTGCATGATTGATAATATGAATGCGGTCGATTGTTGAGCAGCCTGTTCGAAATCCGGCTTGTTCCTTTAGTTGATTGAATTCTAACGTTGTCCTAATTCTCTTATTAATTACCTTTGTAAATAGCTTTTACACGAGGAAGAGCGAGCTGATCGGCCTGTAGTTCTTGAAGTCCTTGTCACCCTTTTCTTGTGGATTAAGATGATGTTAGTATTCTTCCAAGATATTGGTAACGTCCCTGTCAGGAGACAATTCGTAAACATGGTGGCTTGTTCATCTAACACAATCTGTCCTCCGTCTTTCGGCAGATCTGATGTTACCTGATCCTCACCAGCAGTTATGCCTCTTTAAATCCCTCCAAGACTTTCCTGACTTTTTTCATTACGAGAGGGATGTCATCTGGGTTACTGTTAGTGCTTACGTTATCACCGTGGTTGTCCCTGCTACTGTACAGGTATCTCTGTAAAACTGGCCTTATATTCTAACTATCCTATTCATATTGGTAACCCCGCCCTGATGGTCTAGTGGCTAAGGTACTCGGCTGCTGACCTGCAGGTCGCGGGATCGAATCCCGGCTGCGGCGGCTGCATTTCATATGGAGGCGGAAATATTATACGCCTGTGTGCTCAGATTTGGGTGCACGTTCAAGAATCCCAGGAAGTCGAAATTTCGGGAGCCCTTCACTACAGCGCCTCTCATAATCATATGGTGATTTTGGGACGTTAAAACCCACAAATCAATCAATTATCTATATTGGTAGTTACTTTGTCTTCCTTGTCCCTTAGTGCAAACATATGGGTTTTGCCTATTTCGAGTTTCCTCTTCATTGCTTTGACGCTTCCTCCGTTCTTTAGAGCACGTTAAATTCTCTTCATGTTATACCTTCTAACATCGGATACCTTACGTTTATTTATCAACTTCGAAAGCTCTGCTAGTTATATTTTGTCTGTTGTGTTTGAGCCTTTCATGCTTTGACATTTCTTGATGAGATTATTTGTCTCCTGGGACAAATTGTTAGTGTGCTATCTAAGTACCAGACCTCAAACTTCCATTGTACACTTCGTAATGATACTCGTCAGGTTATCATTCGTAAAGTAAATTTGGTAATCCCACATATCACGTTTGATGCCAAGGCCTGGGTGATTTCGGTCATCTATCCATTTACTTATACACGTGTGACTTGCATGTAGCAAGTATCATTTATGCCTATTTGTTTAGCCATCGCTAACTTTACGCTTTGAATTGCGTTATTTTGATAAGATTTGGTGTTTACAGAGGCAGGCGCTTTTTCAGATTTCGTGCCTTTTCGTCGGTACCCAAGGATGACGATGATGGCCTTTTGTATGGCTCACACCCACTCTGATAGATTGGCCAAAAACTAATAATTAGGAAGAATCGAATAATAATATGTCTAGTGCATTATAAATTGTTAGAAGAAATGAAATTTGTTAATTTATATATTTGTTACCAAAACCACCCTGATTCGATCAAGAATCTTTCTACAGCGATATCCCGTTGACTCAGACCTAATGAAGAGGCTTCCAAGAAGATAATAATAGATATGATGAAATGCAACCCAATCTGATTAAAAGCCGCCTTAAAATTGTTTTTCCTCAGTAAATCGAAGCAGCTACACGATAAAACATATTGGTCGATCGTTTCATATCCTTGCTGCAATATGATCACAGAGAGGAAGGAGCCACATCGCCTCTGTGCATAAACTTCAACGTATCACCACCATCACCGGTGGTCGCAGCACGCTCCTCCGAAGCTCGAGACACGATCCGCGAACGTGACACAGAAGCGGCAGCCATGGCAAGAAGAAGCTCCAGCATGGAGGCCTCCTCCCGTACGATCGCCGCCGGTTCCTCTGTCAGCAGCGGGCGGGCTCTGTTGCAGGCAGCCACGGCCGACAGGCATCGTCGGCCGGCACCCGACGAGCAGCCGACCGAGGAAGGCATCCCCATGGGCGAGGGACGCTTCCAGGTGAACCTTCGCTTCAATCTCTCAGATGTGTTGTTACGGGGAGCAAAAGGCTCTTGAGAATATATTTACAATGCGTTTACAGCAGTCTAAGGCAGGCGTACAAGATGAAGCCCAGTCTGCATGGGATGTCATTAAGCATCGTTTCCTTCCCTCATGTGTTCACATAGGTGCGCACAGTTTGGGAGGAGTTCAGTGGGCGAGGGGAAGAGGCGCAAAGACAGCTTCATCTGTTGACATGATAGGAAAAGGGTGGCGCAGCGACAAACCTACGCCCCCCCCCCCCCTCACTAAGGGGAACCTTGCGCACGCTTACGTGTGTTCATCTGCAGCACGCTTTTACAACATGCCCACCAGGCTTGACCGTTATTTATTTAGAGTACTTAAAGTACTTTCTGCTGCATTGTGAGCAAATGTTTCTTCTGAGTCGCATTTTTTCAGACTGGGGGGGGGAGTCACTTTTTTCAGACAAAACAGATCCACTAGGATAGGTAACATCGTTGTGGTTTATAATTGTGACGTAGATTGAAATGAATCAACGGGGACGAAAGAACAGCTTTTCAGACAGATTGCGCCCGAAGCCGCAACCTTCGAATTATGGTGGTAGTCTAGTGTTAGGATAAATTTCATTGATCGAGTGATTTCAAGATGACGACTCCCCACTTCGCGAATTATTTTCGAATGAAAGATGGCATGTAGAAGTGCGCGTGGCTATAGGCTGTGCGATCATGTGGAATTGTAACAGCACCTGAACTTCTTTCCCAAACTGGCCCTACTTGGAGCACAAAATAATGACCAAGCGTGGAAACAGCGCAGGAATGGGACAAGTAGAGAGAACACAACACCCTCGTCCCTTTCCTGCACTGTTTACACGTGGTGTCACGTACTGGCCCTTCATGACACCCTTTTGCAATAATGGTCAAGAAGAGGAACGAAATATGACAAAAACAAGTTGAGTGTCAAACATGCAACGTGGAATAGAAACAGGCCCCGAGAAAATTCGCGCAGCATCTTAACTCAAAGCCTTGAACAACGTTACTAGAAAATTACGGCCTTCTAAATTCTATACAAAAAAAAGTCCAGACGACGGCTTCGCGCTTTGCTGAAAGGGAGACAGCGTATCAACAAAGTGCGGAAGATTCAAACGCGTGCTTGCCCCCCAGAAGAGAAAGCAATTTTAGATGCGGAGCATCTTATACTCGCGCCTTGTAGTGCGCCGTCCGCGCCGCTTCTCGAACATTCGACAGCTGACGCGCGCGCATGCGCCGTCGCCCACTCTTCCACCATCTGTGCATCCCTTCCTCCTCTACACACCGCGCGCGCTTCACTCCTCCACCATCTGTGCACCCTTCCTCCTCTACACACCGCGTTCGACATCTACAATTCTCCTGATTCTCCAGTGGACGCGCATGTGGCGTCGCGCTTCGAGAACATTCAACAGCTGACAGTGCATGCGCCGTCGTGCTGTATATATACTCAAGGTCGGCGCTCGCTCGCTCAGTTGCCGCTCGTCGGTTGGTTTGTACGGCGCGTCGACGTCCAAGGTCGCGGTGAAATGAATTCCAACGAATCCACAAACACAATGATCGACGTCCCTTCGACCAGCGCCGCCCTTTCGCATACGTGTGTACGTGTTCACTCATTTAACACCCCCTCCTACAACCACGTTAACCAATTTAGCCATCGACCCAAGTAAGTCGCAATTTAACACCCCATTTCACAACCACGTTAACCAATTTAGCCATCGACCCAAGTAAGTCGCACTTTAACACCCCGTTAACCAATTATATGGTCCGCATCCTCCTCAGTGTTCCCCCGAGGGAAGCTGCGGGCAATTTTTTTTTTCTGTCATACGAAACGACGATGGTTTCTGTGGCGCCTGGTCCCTTGGTCACCCATGTTTTATTTTAGGGGCGAAGCTCCTTAAGGCGTCACCCGATCGTCTCGCTATCGTTTGTAACCAGCGCTCGTTGAGTCTCCAATCCAGCCATAGATGGCGCTTCTTGTAGTATAGAACGAATGCATGCACGCTGAGAAAGGCAAAATTGGCCCACACTAGATGGCGTTTTGCACCAAAAGATAATAATAAAAAGATAGTTTTATGAAAACAGGATTTACATCACACGTACCGATGGAGAGAGAGAGAGATGATCGCGCCACTGCGATCACGTGTTCTTCGGCGGCGCCATGCGCAAGGGGGCGCTCTATAGTACAATAAAAGCGTCGTTATGGCGCGCGCGCGTTCACATGGTCGGCAAATTGACAAAGCTGCCGAGCGGCGTGCGCGCAGGGTGTCGTGCGGAACCAGCTTCGCCCCACTCTCCATCGTTCACGCCGTGGATATGCTGTCATTTTTTTAGTCAAGCAAGGACAATCAAGCATCATTCTAGCAACCATGAATTATAAATTTCTGTCAATCTCAAGGTAGCTTCATCACTATTCAACGGAAATAGGGATCTAATTGCGTTAATTTCTGCTATTTGTGCATTGCAATGTCAATTAATTACATTTTAGAAAGTTGCAAGAACGTAATTGACGGTACTATCTAATTCATTTTTAAAAGCAATTAAGTCGCTTCTGATATGCAGGAAGCGATGCATTAAGTACACGTCTTGCGTGTATAAAACGAAATCACTTTACGGTTTCACAGGGAACGCGAAAAAACCATTAGTGGTGTTATATAGTGTTATACGTCAATCGATATGATGCGCAAATTTCGTCGGCCGCAGACAGTGGTTGCCATAAGAGAAGACTACAAGAGCACGGGAGTCATACATTTGATCAGTGACTATTAGCTTGGGCTTCATGTATTGCATTGCTCTGAATAGCAGTGCTTCATCTCTCGATGTCTCAATAGATGAAGGTGGATAATTTGCGCTTTTGCCGCCACATGGGAACAGACGAAAGGACATCTTGGGCTGTTAAGCAGATGTTTTTTTTTTTGTTTTAGATGCAAAGCAGCTTTTTGACTAGCCTGTGTAACGCTGCCCCGTGCGTCCATACGAACCCCATCGCCGCAGGTGTTGGAGCGGGGCCAAGTGGGTCAAGTCGTGGCTGCGTGTCGGCGTCATTCTTCTTCCTCACCCGCCGCTGCTGCCGGCTCCTCCCCCCACTCGCAACACACTTCTTTCTTACTTCACCCTATCCACCACCCGCAAAGCTCGATCGCACGTCGAGTGGAAAGACTTGACAGATTTAGTTGGGCGTCCGCAGCAGCAGTACGGGCGTGGCCTGCCACTGCGAATGGCTAGCAGGCTGCGTTCGTACGGCTGCTGCAGACGCGTGACTAAATCGGTCTAATCTTGCGGCTCGTTTATCTGCGATGAAACTTACATGAAACCCAACCCACCTCCCATGCCTTTGCGTTTCAAACAAACGTTTACTCGAGTAAACGCTACACTGAGTTTCACTTGAAACCGCTCTTCCAACACCCGCGTCGACGCCTGTTTCAACCAGGTCAACGCCGTGCGCACCGCTGCTGCTTCGCATCCGATCAGGGTTCCTTTGGGGCAGATGGTCCAAAATCGTTTGCATATAACGGCGTGAATTAATAAGGGCATGAAACACCATATGCAGCAACCCAACCGTATCCACGCATATGCACCTACCGTAACATTGTTCGTTTAGTTGTTCAAGATACAAAACACAAAAGTTAACAGCCTCACATGGCGACACTGAAATCTATCCGTAAAACAGTCTACATAGCAATGACTACTAACGTTAGGGTGGGGTAAAATGCGACAAAAAATTGAAAATAGCAGATATTTTATTTTTATTTTATTATTTACCATTGAATACCAATGCAGAAACTTTCCTTTGGATACAGGGTATGCGCCACATAAATATGACAATGTTGCCACAGCCCAAAGGGGTGTTCTAAACATAAACAAAAATGCACCAGATGTCTCATTTTGACCTAACCCGCGGGGCAAAATGAGACACGGTCTTAGGTGATACAAGAAGGTGTGAAAAAAAAATTATCTTTTCAGATTTTGCAGTAGATCGGACCTGAAATTCACCCACGCTCTCTTCATGAGCCTACTCCTTGCGCTCCACGCAATGAATCCAGACAGAACCCGCCGCTGTGATACTCCAAAACTCGTATGATGAAGTACCCTCAGTTTTTCTTTGTGCTAATGGTGCCTTTTGTTGAACGCTTGCACTTCCTTAGATTATTCAATGATTGGAGGCTAGATAGGTTCCGACTCATCTTTTTCGTCTCTTTTTGCTGTTTTGATGCAGAACTGTACGGGCCTTTTGTGGCTTTCAACTTAGTCAGCCGGGCTTTGTGAGGCGATGAATTTTGCATTTTATATCGCTTGTTATTTTTTTTTATTTTGGGATGAAAAATATTTGATTAAAACTCGATTCCAAGACGTCTTTGGGAACGGTTTACCTCGGAGATTTTTTCAATTTTTTTTTTCATTCGCTTCTTATAGCATCCTTGGGAAAGCGGAGCAGCCTCGATATAACGCGAATAGAGTGATTCCTGTCCTCAACAGCAGTCGGTGTTTTTTATGTCGTTTCCCACCCATCAAGCCCTATATAATATTTTTTGTACGACCTCACCATCTTAAACATAAATGATATATAATTAGTTGAGTAAATGGTTCACTTACTAAGGCACACTCTAAGGCATTCCGAGGTCTTTTTGTCGCATTTGGCCCCTACCACATGACCCAATTAAAAAATTTTGCTTTGGCACCGTGCACCAAATGAACCAAACTTTTGGTGGTGTGCTGCTAGTAGTATAAAGTAACAAAATAAATACTTATTTTGATGTAAAGATGTCGGAGTAACTTCATGCACAGATCCAGAAATTGGACTGAGCAGAATTTCGTACTTTTTTCCGGGTCTCGAACACACCCACACCAGCCGCGAAATTTGTCCTTCGCGAACACTGTGAGCAATAACAAACTTCTACACATAAAAAGGTATACAGGCCCCTATCAGCACCTACCGCTGAAACAGAGAATCAAAGAACAGTACTTTTTTCGTATTAGCTACATCTAGGAGTCAGCACAATCAAAATGCCTCATTTTGCTCTGTCATTTTATTCCACCCTACCCTAATTCTTCCGCAAAACTATAGGTTGCGCTGTTGCCACGACGTGCACCGCATCACGAAGTGATGATGATCATGTATGAGTAATTTTCCCCATTGTCTAAGTATATTACTGACCTATATTTTAGGAATATATATGTTCCTAGGTGCTTGCTATAAGTCCACTTCCTCCTCCCCTTCCTACCCATGCACATGGTCAGCATTTCTATCAGTACGTAAGTAGGTACGCGTTTATTGATAATTACCGCAGGCAAATACTACCGCCGCCCTCTATGTGCATCTACTCCTCTCCTCGTGACTTCGGGAATACTGGCATGGCGGTGACGCAGTCGAAATTGCGATGAGAGGTATTACAGGCCAGAGCGACGGTCCAATTACGAGGCAAGCGTAAATGGTTGGCCTCCTGATACACTTTAAGGAGACAACTTGAACTGGTATAGCGCATTAAGGGGAAGAAGAAACGGCCGAGCAGACCGACACAAGAGGACATAGCGCTCTGTCCTCTTGTGTCGGTCTGCTCGGCCGTTTCTTCTTCCCCGTAATGCGCTATACCAGTTCAAGTACGATGAACCAACTCGCCCAATCTTCAACACTTAAGGAGACAAAGTTCCTCTATAGCTAGAAACGATTGAACGTGAGGACACAAGTACCTTAGCGCAGCGTACCGAGGCGGGATAGCCGAAACGCGTGGGTATCACCACAAAAAGGAAGCTTATTTTTACGTGCAGGTGATGGTGACGATAGCTTCGACGCTGGCCGGCACGGCCTTCCTGCTGCACCTGGTAAGCTTCCGCCTGACCACGCGCGTCATGGACCACTGGTGCCGACCGCCGGCCGCGTTCGCCAACATGAGCGTCGCCGAGTGGCGCCGCCTGGGCACCCCGCTCGAGGCCGACGGAAGCCGCAACCGCTGCTCGCAGTATGACCCCCCGGATGGCGGCTCTCGCGGCCACGTGGTGCCCTGCAAGGCGTGGGACTTCGACACCGAGCGCTACGGCAACAACATCGTCAGCGAGTGGCGTCTGGTGTGCGACCGACGCTGGCTCATCGAGATGGCCGTGCTGGTGTACATGGCCGCGTGCGCCATGTCACTGCCCCTGGCCGGCGCGGCGGCGGACCGCGTCGGCCGCCGCGTCGTCATGCACATCTCGCTCGCAGCGCTCCTGGCTGCCGGCTTCGCCACCAGCCTGGCCAACTCGTACTTGCTGTTCGTGGGGCTGCGCATTGTGGTGTCCACAACCAGCAACGCCTTCTGGCTCGTGCTCTACGTGGTACTCTACGAGGTGAGCGAGGACATGGGGCACAGCGGCGTGGCCATGGGGTCTGCATTAGAGAGGTTATGACCCCCCCCCCCCTCACACCAGCCTTTTTGCATTTTGTGCGTATTGCAGTATGCACGCATACAAACACACGCCCGAACTTACATAAATCAAGCTCTCAATCTTCAGCAAAAGGTTTCTGGCTGCACGCCTGGTGCAGCGAGTATGTCTACACAACGGGCCTTTAACCATGCTGCTTCCCCCAAGCGGCATTCTGTATTAAAAAAATATATGCTTTACAGAGTGCGCCGACACCGGAAATAGTTTTATGCACGACGATTCATGAAGTCTTGCTATTTGGCCCATGACACTGGCAAGGCAGTAAACTAGGCATTGCTGTTTCGCGGTTCTCACTGTCTTGCCGCCTCACTATAGGCACCCGACAGTGGACCAGAGGGCGGGACGAAGCTTTTTGGGCCGCCTCAGCGTTGTCAGTACCGACCGCCACCAAGGAAAACTCCCAAGCATTTCCCCGAGGGTGAACATGGTTAAGTACGAATACACGGGGTATTTATTAATTCGCGCTATTATATTTATTAATCACACTATGGTGCCTTTATGGTGTAATGCTTCCTGGGAATCGCAATTTGATCCCACAGGGGAGTTTACGTTAACTCACTGGCGGATGCCAACGGATTTTAACTTTACTCCCCCTCACGACCCGCTCTCGACGGGAGACTGAGAGAGAAGGCGGGCGCGCGAGAGAGAGGGGTGCGCGCGCAGCTGCAGCGAGCGAGGAGAGCGGAGGAACGAGCGAAGGGGGAGGGGGTATAAGGCGCGTTACTGACACCGATATCAGCGTCGCGTCCGTGGCTTATTCGGTAGAGCGTCGCGCTGCGGCCCGCCAAGTCCTCTTTCTGTTAAAGATAGAGAGAAGACTGCGGACGCCGCCAACGGCGGTGGATGGTTTGGGGTCGCTTATAAAGTGTATTCACACTTAAAATGAAACTCTCGCTGAACACATTGAGACGCTGAAGTGTCAATGCCCTTTTTGTCGCGTTTTCAAAGAAGGCTTCCTGGGCGCTTACTTAATCAGCCGTGACCCCCCTGCTCAAAACTGAAAAAGTCCGCTTTTGCTGCGTCTACTCGCTAGGCTACGCATTAGAAGACCCGATTTTGCTGCGCCTACTCGCTAGGCCTTGTGTTCTAGCGTTACCATCAGATCTCGTAAACTGCATTGCCGAGTAAGGTACCGTCCACTGACCAGAGGGAGCTGCGTTGCTGGCACTAGCCCAACCTAAGTTCGCTGACGTTCGCCGCTAGGGGCACGCAGAAAACAAACGCGTGCATGCGTCCCCGTGTATACCTGCTGCAATCAGCCCGCTCACGCGGGCAGGGAGATGTGGGCATCACGTCCTAATTGGACTGACCCTATCCTATTATTGCATTTTTTCTCTGCTAGGCATTGCGTTCTGGCACTGATCACACCGGAAAACTCGACTTCGTGGTGCCTATACCGCCATAGTGAGCTGACGATGTCAACAGCTCTGTATTGCGTGACCCGCCCAGAAACGTTAAACGAGACTGCCTACCAACAAGATTAACCAACCAGCCAACTGAGCTTCTTGTTGAGTGCCTGCGTACTGGCAGCGTCTGGCCTGCGGCACGCATGTATTCCGCGGGTCGCTCTTCATCGCCAGCGTGCCGAAGGTGCGGTGATGACGAAACGCTGCAGCATATTGTTTGCTCCTGCCCTGACCTGGCCACTGAGCGTTGCGCACTGGTAAGCCGCTATCGTCTGCTTGGACTACCTGCCGAAACAATGGAAGACATACTTTTTCCCGCGCGCTCGAAGACGAAAGCCCTTCGAGCCTTCCTCGAGTTCTGTGCTTGCGCGGACCTCGCCGCCTTATCGACGGACTCTTTTCACTCGCACTACTGACTGTACTGACAAGACGTTCTCTTGCCATGACATTCACTTTTTCTTTCCTTCCTCTCTTCTTCCTATCATCTTTACTTCCCCTTCCCCGATCCCTAAAGGCGCTGAGCCGTGCCCCCGCGACGGGAGGCAGAAAATAGCGTCCTTTTTGTCTCTTCCTCTTTCATTAATCTCTCTCTCTCTCTCTCTCTTGTTGAGTAAAAAAAAAAAATACAGCATATCCACGGAGTCAATCATGATGAGGGGGGTGAAGCGTCAGAGCGTTTGTTCGTACGTGCATCAGTCCTTGCGTCAGTCGGTTCGTGCATCCATCCGTTCGTCCTTTCGTCTACATATCTGTCTGACCGTGCTTCCATTCGTCTGTCCGCGCGTGCTTCCGCCCGTTCGTGCGTCCATCCGTGCGTCCGTCAGTGTTTCCGTCCGCCCATCCATCCATCCGTGAGTCCGTCCATGCGTGCGTCCACCTGTTCTTCCGTCCATGCATGCGGCCGTCCGTCCGTCCGTGTGTGCGTGCATGCGTCCGTCTGTCTGTCCGTCTGGCGACGAACACGAGCCGCCGCTGCCCTCCGCACTCACCACTCACCACGTACTCACTCATGTTCATACTCACGCCTACTCACACTCATTGTTCATGGCTCACGATCATACTCCCGACTACTCACACTCTTAGAGAAATACGGACTGCTGGGCGAGTTGGTAATTCATTTTAATTGAGGTGCGCGAAAAGTTGAAGAACAAAAGGAAGACACCTCGAGACAGCGCGCCGTGTCCAGGTGTCTCCTTTTTGTACTTCAATTCTTCGTGCACCTCAATTAAGACTCATAGTTACTCACTCACCTTCATACTGACGCCTGCTCAAGATCATAGGCCCTCACTCACCTCCGCACTCACCTAAGAATTCACCTTCATACTCACGCCTACCCATACTCAGGCGCACTCACTCACGTACTTTTACATTCACATACTCGTCATCATCACAGCAGGACAAAGGCCTCTCCCCTGTTCCGCCAGTCAACTCGGTCCTTTGCTTGCTGTTACCACTTCATACCCGCAAACTTCCTAATCTCATCTGCCCACAAAACATTGCCTCCCCTTTTCCCGCTTTCCTTTTCTTGGAATCTACAAAATGACCGGCAGAAAACAAAAGTAATGAACAAGAACCTCGAAAGAAAACAGCGCTTGGAGATAGGTGGCAGTGCACTTGAACTTGGAAAAGGTATATACGTCTACTTAGGACAGGTGGTACCTGCGGAGCCGAGCCACGAGCCTGAAGTAACTGGAAGAATAAGAGTGGGGTGGAGAAGATTCGGCAAGCAATCGCAGCACATGGCTGGTAGATTGTCGCTATCCCCTCAAGATGAAGGTATATAACAGCTGCATCTTGCCGGTACTTACCTACTGAGCAGAAACCTGGAGGCTTACAAAGAGGGTTCAGCTTAAATTGAGGACGACGCAGAGAGCGATGGAAAGGAAAATAGTAGTTGTAACCTTAAGAGTCAAGAAGAGAGCAGAGTGGATCAGGGAACAAACCGGGGTTAAAGATATCATAGTTGAAATCAAGAAGAAGAAATGGACATGGGCCGGTCATGTAGCACGTAGGCAGGATAACAGCTGGTCATTAAGCATAACTGACCGGATTTCCAGAGAAAGCAAACGGGTTAGTGGGAGACAGTAAGTTAGGTGGGCAGATGAGATTAGGAAGTTCGCGGGTACATAATGGCAGCAGCAAGCAGAGGACTGAGTTGAGTGGCGGATCATGGGAGAGGCTTTTGTCCTGCAGTGGACGTTGTCAGGCCGATGATGGATATTAACATTGAGGTAGCGTTGCGTGCACTCAGATTACTCAAGAAACAATCGAGCTGAACAATTGTCGCTTTCTTTAGGGTTGGTAGGTTCCACAAACAAGCAATGACTCAGCGCAATTACGACGCACCTGCAAATTCATTTGTGTGCCATGACGCGTAGGAGATGCTGATACATCGTTTAGAATCTCAGTAATGTGTTACAAGCACTCAAAACGCGCTTTGGTAGGCTACGACGCACGTGCGCGAAATAGAGACGCTCTCGACAGCTTCAGTATACTACACGGCCGCCGCTGATTAACCCGCCAGAACCCAAGACGTTGCCATGCCATCCGGCTCGGCCGATTCATTCGTTCCACTGCCCCCAGCCCCTTCTGACTGCACTAGCGGGACAGGCGGGCGCCGCGGCGCCGCGGCCGCCCGGCCACTGGTAGGTGTTCTGTGGTCCTGCGCGACCGTCGAGACGGCGCCTCCCCTCTCTGCCTCGCCTTCAGATGGAATGCGTTGCGTACGGCAGTTTTGCATTCGAGAAATTGTGGGCATCTTCGGAGATGTTTTCCTTCCTCTGTGGGTCGCGCTTACGTGGAGACTTAGTTGGCTCCGTGCCGGCACTGACGATTGCAGGGGTCTTTATTTATGGATCTGCGGACGCGAATAACGTTCATTAGCAGTGTACGTACGCAGGGTTATCGCGAACAGCCGAATTAAAGTAATTAACGAGTTGCGTTATGTGCGTTTTTGTATTAGCCTGCGTTCTGTGAATGATAGAATAAATTATCAAGGGTGATTGGGCGCTTATTGCACATTGTGTCAGCACTGTTGAAGGCATAATAAGCCGCCGAAAACTGATGCGAGGGTAGGGATTGAAACGGCTATGCGAACAGGGTCCGATTACGCTATCGCATACTATACTATTGACGGCGAAGCTCAACCATCCTCCAAGCTTTCCTTTTTTTTTCTTAATGGGGCACTGAGAAGGCGAAGTTCGCACACAGCTTCGCGCTTGAGAGGTCATGAGATCACTTAAGGTTTCCGTTCAAGGCAACCTTCACTTGAGGGACAACGCAGAGATAGAAACTGCAAAATCGCTGCGCACAATGTGCATCGCGCACACAATGTGCTTTCTCCCGCGGGCCATTTCCGCGTTGTTGTTTTTTTCTTTGTCGCTTGTGCAGTGCATTTCTTTTTTCTGAACCGGCTCGCGCGGCGATTTTTGTTAAAGGGCTTCTCAAGACCTTGTTTTACATGTATTATCAGCGGGTTGCGTATACTGAAGGCGCGAGAGGTAAGTGCAGCAAGAACGGTAGCTATAGAGGCAGGCAGTTCAAAGTTATTCAGCCTAGAAAATTCAAATTACAATAAAATGGACGGCTACCCTCAACACGAGTTTTACGCAACCACCTCACCCCCCCCCCTATCTGATGTAGGATGGCTCCCCCAGTTTCCAAACTAACTGAAGGCTTTTACGTACAGTAAGCTTGCATGCCATAGTGCCCGTTATTTCCAATGTGTTGAGGACGCCGTTGCGATGGTTACAAATATTTATCACACTCATAGTGACTCACTCATGTTCCTGCTCATTGCTACTTACACTCACAGCAACTCACTCACCTTCAAAGTCAAGTCTTCTCACACTCATGAGTACTCACCCACGTTCGTACTTACTCGTACTCACATTCATGAGCTCTCACTCACTCCTAATCGCCATCATGAATACTCACTCACGTTCATACTAACGCGTACTCACACTCATCAGTACTCACTCAAGTTCAAACGCCTACTCACTCACGTTCTCACTCACGTTCATACTCTCTCCTTCTCACACTCAGAGTACTCACTCACATTCATACTCACGGATACTCACATTCACAAGCTCTCAGTCATTTCTACTACACACTGATGAATACTCACTCACGTTCATACTCACGGATACTCACACTGATGAGTACTCACTCACGTTCAAATTCACATCTACTCACACTCATGAGTACTCACTCATACTCACACTCAAAGTACTCACTCACGTTCATACTCACTCTTTCTCACACTCACAATACTCACGTCATACTCAATTCTACTCACGCTCAGAGTACTCACTCACATTCATACTCACTTATACTCACACTCAGAGTAGTCACTCACGTTCATACTCACTCCTATTCACACTCAGAATACTCATTCACGTTCATACTCACTCCTATTGACACACATGAGCACCCACTCGCGTTCATACTCACTTCTACTCACACTGAAAGTACTCATTCACGTCCATTCTCACTCCTACTCATACTAATAAGTACTCACTCACGTTCTACTCACTCCTACTCATACTCATCAGTACTCACTCATACTCACACTCACCACATTCAAATGAGTATGAATGAGTGTGAGTGAGTGTACTCATGAGTGAGTATGCCGAGCTATGCATCTATTATAGTGTTTGGGAGATGCTGCTGATTACGCCTGACGCGGGACAAGGTTAGACTAAGAGGAGCTTCGCTTCTAAAAAATTCAATCAAAATGTCATTAGAGCGGCGCATCGCCGGCCCATGGCTCTGGCGCTAGTGAGTAAAGGGTTCTGTCAAATAGTATGGCATGCCTTTTGCGTATGGCATGAAACCCTCTCTTCCTGCTGCATGTCACGCATGTCCGCATTTCTCGGTCGTGCTGGTGTGTGCGGCTCAAGTGTTTCGTAGTTTGTATCAACACACGAACAGCGAGAAACACCGGATATTTATGAGACCACTCTTCGGTTGTTCATTACGATAACAACATGTAGTTGTGTTTTAGATGGAAATCGCAACGACCCTTACACACCATATGTTAGAAAACTTCAATAATTTTTTTTAATTCTCGCAATGCTTCGAATCCACCAGAATCCATTTATTATTGCAGCGCACATAAGCGTTCGTCGCAACACCCCTCTTGCTATCATGTCAATGTATGCATTGACATGATAAGCGAGAGCGGGGCTGGCTTTGCGCCCCGCTCTCGCTCCCACCCCCTCCCAGAGCGCTCGCCTATGACAGCGAACACTCATATTGATTGATATATTGATTGATTGATTGATTGATTGATTGATTGATTTATTTATTTGTGAGGTTTAACGTCGCAAAACCACTATATGATTGCGAGAGACGCTGTAGTGGAGGTCTCCGGAAATTTCGACCACCTTGGTTCTTTAACGTGCACCCAAATCTGAGCACACGGGCCTACAACATTTCCGCCTCCATCGGAAATGCAGCCACCGCAGCTGGGACTCTATCCCGTGACCTGCGGGTCAGCAGCCGAGTACCTTAGCCGCTAGACCACCGCGGCGGGGCAGCGAACACTCAGTATAGACTTCAAAGAGCCAGACATAACTGCAAGCGGTGGTGGTGTTCTGTGTAGTTTCGTAGTGCGTATACAGTGTATGCATCAAGCTAGGGCCAACTATAGCTCTAGGTAAACGCATTAGCCAGTTGTTTGCCAAAATATTCGCCGTTTTCGTCGGCGCAGGTGTCCACTCCGGCTCGCCGCGACCGCTACTGCTTTATTGCCATGGCCGGCGCGTCGGTGGCCATGCCGGCGACGATGTTGGTGCTGTTGCAGCTGCGGCTAAGCTGGGAAGCCCTGCACCTGGCCCTGATGGCGCCCACATCGGCAATGGCGCTGGTCTACTGCAGCGTGGGCAACGAGTCGCCCGCCTGGCTCATGCGCAACTGGAACGCGCGCGAGGCCGAGGCCGTGGCCATGCACGCCGCCCGCATCAACGGCATCCCGCTCGAGGAATGCCGGGCGTGGTTCGCGCGCGAGTCCCGGCGGCGAGACAGCGAGATGCCGCTGCCATTGTTCGACCACAGCCCGTTCGCCATCTTCGCGCCTGAAGTTAGGGGCAGCCACGCGCTGATCTCGTACATTTGGGCAGCCACCAGCTTCGCCTTCAATCAGGTACGGTGCCATGATGCAGGGATACCGGTCGCTGGTGGTTTAGTTGGTTGTACGTTGTCTTGAGACTGGAAATGCAAAACTTTTGAAAACGGAGAAAACGTGTTCAAATACAAAGGTGCAATACGTGCGCTGGTGCTTAAATTGTTCTGTGTGATCCTTCCCCTTTTGTTTACCGAGCTACAGCCGCACAGGTGTATGACGATTAAGGGCGACCGTTGGACCTTGATGTTGCATCCCAAACACTGTTCACTTGCGATGTTCACAGAAGTCATGAACGAAAAGCAGGCCATAGCGAAAAACACAACCGTTTCAGTATCATTTTTTTTCATCCGTTGTAAAGCATGTTGCCATTTGGACTCGACCAACAGATCTTTCCGACCCTGAAGGTGAACCCTGCGCACACCCGTGGTGCTGTTTATCACCTCAATGCAAAATGAGAGATAAGAACGAGACACTTGCAAATGTCTGCATCATGCCCTAATCCCTGACAAGATACAAGGTGCGCGACCAGCACCCACCGATCGTAAGTCGTATTCAAAATGAGCTTCACAGTTGTGTCGAAAATGAAAACGAAGCATTGAAATGCTTCCAACAACAGCCTGCATTTGGTCTACGGCTTGCCGGAAGTGAAAGAGCATATAGAAGAAATAGCGAAGCCTCCACTATAGGCCACACAAGGCTTGAAACAGCGAAACTGCACGATTAAGGATGCTCTGGTCGTTTCTAGGTTATCTCCAGGCTATAGGTGGTGGAGGTCGTTTTATGGTTGCTTCGCGATCGTTTCTAGGCTTTAGCTGGGTGATGCTAGGTTGTTTCACTACAGATAGTCACAGACAATACCCATGGCCCCTTCTTGCGCGCGCCTATATGCATTTTTTTTGTTATATCTGCGGTTTTACGTCCCAGAACCACGATATGATTAAGAGAGGCATCGTAGTGGAGGGCTCCGGTAATGTTTGACGTTCTGGTGTTGTTTGAAGTGCACCCACATCGCACAGTACACGGGTGTCTACCATTTCGCCTCCATCGAAATGCGACCGCGCCACGGCCGGGATCAAACGCACGAACTTCGGTTCAGCTGCCGAGCATCCTAGCTACTGCTCCATCAAGGCGCCTGCATGCAAAGTTTCCCTCGCAGGTGAACCTGAACGACATCGTGCCGGTGCAGAGCGCGTTCGCGGCCGTAGGCGTCGCCTGCATGCTGCCCATGTACGGCGCGGCGTACGCCTGCTGCCTGCGCTTTGGCGTAAGGCGCTCGCATGTGACGGCCGGGCTAGCGTTCAGCCTGCTCGCCCTCGCACTGGCCGCCGCGTACGGATACCAGCTGCACGACGCGAGCGTGGCGCTCATCGTGGCGCTGCGCTTGCTGGGCAACCTGGTCGTGGTGCTCGCCTTCGTGGTCACCGTCCGCCAGTACCCGGTGAGCGCCCGCTGCACCGGCCTCTGTTCGAGCTTCGCACTCGGCCGGCTCACCGGATCGCTGGGCGAGGTCGGTATAGTCTTGAGCGAAAGCGCGGGCTAGCTGCTAGTCCATAGTTACGAATCTCGCGTCGAATAATCTACAGCAGTGACAAGGAGATACGAGAAAAATGCGAGTACCACGTGTCCGTTTTATTCGCATCATGTTTGGTGTGGGATTTGGGCTTAACGTTCATATTTTTGGTAGCTTAGGTCGTACAAGGGGGCTGTTTGAAAAAAACATGAACAAAGATACACTGAACGTAGGAACTGATCCCCATTATGCGCGATTCGGGAACGTAAATGGCGACTGGTACAAAGCAACTAATGTTTGCAGATTTGTAAGAAAAAAAAAGGACCCCACTGTAACCATGCAGCGCCGCATAGCTTTCGTTTATAACCTCGGGTATACAATGAGTTCCTCGCTAAAGGCTGCATCTGGTGACGAACCGCCAGGTGCTGTTCCGGTGGGCGCCTGAGCACCGTCGCGACATCGTCGTGTACGTGATGGCCATCGTAATGGCGCTGGCGGCCGTGGCCACCGAGTACCTGCCCTACCCCGGCCTCGTGTCCGCGTCGGGACCCGTGGAGTTCGCGCCCAGCGTCGTGGTGCTACCCAGCGTCCAGCTGCCCGTCTACCGGAGGCACCGGACTATGAGCCTGGACAACGCGGACTACCGACGGCGCTCCATGCAGGACTCGCTGGTGCCCCTGCCCAAGGGACCTTACAAGGAGAGGGCGGCTCGGACGCGGCGGTCCCTCAGCGATGACCGGCTACCCGAGCAGTACTCCGTCAGGGTCTCCGCCAGCAGGACGTCGCTGGCGTCCTCTGCCAGCCGCCTTTGACGAGTGCTTCCGGGTGGAACTCGTTTTTCGATGTGCCATTTTCTGCGCCCATCGAACCGAATTCGTTCATTTCGCCTGTAGTTGTAACATGCAACGTGCGTTTCGTTAGACGTTTTTATTCGTGTCGATCATGTGACGAGCGGGTGCGATCGTGGCGCCCTTATTTGCTGCGCACTGCTCGCGATGAGACGTTCTCTTGTGTTTGTCGTTTTATTACTATCGCTAATATATCAGCCAGTTATTAACTTTTATTCCGCACGTCGTTTTGGGCTAGATGACAGTGTCAGTACTTTCACCGCTGAAATTTTTAACACACTTTTGCACAGCTATAGTCACCTCCTCGGTAGGCTGCTTGCGATGCGGGATCATTTGACGTCGCATGGTGGTGCGGTGTTTTGATGGTAGTGTGACCGGTGTAAAAACAACATCCGACGCAGTCACTCCTACTGGCGGCAAATGCTTCCGCGGTTGATATATATTGTCTCCAATATGTAGCGGGTACTGCGGTGGCCCTTGCCTTCCCTTAACAGAGAGACATGCGTGAATGATTCAGCAAGGACGAAAATAAAGATATTCGGCTGACGCATGAATTGTGGGAGTTGTTTTACCTGATGCCAGAGTTGTTTTACCTGATTGCCTGATGTGCCGCATTTTATGCCTAAAGGGTAGCTTACGATCAACTCGCGTGGCGGCCCAGGCGTCATATTTATCAAAATGTAGCACAAGCGGCAGTCGTTTGAACTTGAATTTATTTGAAATTTAAATTCAAGTGGTAAATTGCATCTGTTGTATACAAATACATAAGGAGGTGAGTGAGTGAGACATCTTATAAATGAACTCGTGAGAAATAATACGCAACAGTGAACAGCATTGTAAACAATGCAATATACATAGCAAACAGCAGTAGTAAACAGGTCGCACGTATCAGCAGTAAGGTGTATAGGCAAGCAAAGGCGCTATATATCTTATTCAGACATAGCGCAGCGTTATACAGTTGATGGCTACTCTGTGCTTCAACTTTACTACTCCGTCTGGTGACAAAAACTTCACGTTGGTTCTATACGGCTCCTTCTATCACATCTATATAGCAGCAGTGTTTCGTTATTCTTGCGGATAGATTACATTGTTTTGAAACATTTCTGATCGTGTCAGCCGATGCGTGCGCGTTTTCCACCGCCGCCAGCACGCGTGTCAGAGGTTGTCATAGCACTCCCGAAATATGAGTCCTTCCCATTGTGAGTGTGTTAACACTATATACCGTTGCTTTTACACTTTAAGAAACGTTTCCGTCGTAATCATAATCATTTACTGCACTCTATGACCAGTATCTTTCTAGACACCGTAGACCAACGCTACCCTCAGCGGTATACGCGTGCCACGCCTACAAGGATGGAGTGGAGATGCGCGCATGCTGGCAAACGAGTGGCTATGCCACGCTGCCTGTCATCCACGGTGGTGTCATCTATGCTGACGCACCGCGCCAGTTCTCATGTGAACATGACAAAAACAGAAATCCACCACACACACACAAAAAATGAAGACTGACTAGACCAGAATACCCAATACTTCAGACTGTACTTGCGTTACGGAAGCTCTATACGAGTCAATTTCCGCATGTGGCTTCGAGGAAAAAATACTTGAACGTATAATATCACTCCCCACAGCCTTAGTAAGTCGGCTGTACCAAAGTTACTCTATCTCTCCTAAGTACTGCGTCTATATTACATTAACTCATGAGCTATTCGCAGGTGAAGAGAATTTACTGGCGACTTAATTTTGGCCTGTTATCCAAAGTAAGGAAAAAAAATAGTCGGGCTCTTATTTTCATATATGCATACTCAAAATTATATTTAATGTTCTCGGAAGGACTTTGCCTCACCAGGTACAACGACATCACGGAGGCATTTTATCTCGAAGTAAGAACCTTCTCCATGAGGCTCTGCGGAGCCCCGCTCTTGACGACCTAACCTGGGCGGCCCAGCACGCCCGTGAGGCGAATTCGAGGCAAGCCCTTGACGTCCCCTCATGAGAGGCCTAGGCCCGGCCACCTAAACCTGCTGGCTTCTTATATTAAACTTTATTCCTCCTCTCCCAAGCTTCGTCGCAAGCTAAACAGAGCACAGGCAACCACCCTCCGCCTTTTACTGACACGTACACTTGCCACTGCATAAAAGTAGCGGGTCTAAAAGAAAGTGAAGCAGGACTGATAAACATTTGCTGAACTTCATCTTGCAACAAAGCAGCTCTTGGCAACACGGCGCCAAACGGAGCCGAAAGAGCGAAGATCAGACGAATCCGTATACTACCCATCATTCCCGCGCTGGCTGAAGTGCCACGCGTTGCAGCTCCCGTATAGACACTAACGCCAGAGTTCTGCCTGGTGAATTTTTAGCAAACTCTCTCCGTCACTGCATCGGTATGTACCCAGATGCTTATCCTCGCCACATTTTTAATATGTGCAAGACTCCGGTAGCCTCGCTCCCACACATAACGTGAGATGTAAGCCCTAATACCCGTTCCGTGATCCTCTCGTCGAGATGGCCCTCCGCCCTGCGCATCTCCCACCACATAGCGGCTTGGGCTGCCCCTGCAGCAAGCTCGTGAGGTGGCGGAGAGGCAATACCTCGACGTCCCGACGTGGGAAGCCTATATAGGCCCAACCAAGTCAACTGCTGGATTTAATTATTAAAACTTGATTCCTCCTCATTGAATATCGTCACTCATATATGTAAAGATGTAATGAAACAAAGCGAGCACTCTTCTGAGCCTCTGCGTAGACATTATGGACCTTATAGCACCTTGCCTCGCCCACTTGTCATCATTCACTTCGAGGAGATGCGTGGATTTTTTTTTAAGTTTTTCTCTGCTCTTATTTGTTCTTCTATTTCTCACTTTGGCTTCTATTATTCGCACGTGCACAAACTCTGCCAAATCGAATGCTATTGTGATGTCACTGCGATGGCCGAGGAAGCAAGGAAGGTTTATGCCGCCCTCGCTTTCTCTTCTTTCCCTTTCAGTATAATATATATATATATATATATATATATATAGTAAACGCGTCTCTGAAGAAAAAGTGCGAATATCGTTGTATACATGTTTGGAGTCACGTACCAGTCTTTCCATCAATGTCGACCACCCGCACTTCCATCAACGTCCACCTTTTCCGCGTCGCAGAAGACGTCTTCCGTGGCACCGCTGCCAAACCGTGTCTTACCGTTTATTCTCGTTTCTTTCTTTTTTTTTTTCATAGTTCGCTGACATGCCATTTTTACTAACTACAGCAGGTTCCATTCACCTCGTTGGTTTGCGAGACGGTTACTGGGACGACAACGACGAACCACGAACAGGTTTATTGCGGATCGAACTCGGGGTGGTGAACTGTGGGGAGGCGCAGAGTGCGTCGCCAGTGGCTACGTGCGTGTTATTATAGTTCTGCGCAGGAACAAAGAGCAAACGTCGACGTTACGACGCGCTGTCGGTTACGATCGCCGCCCGGGCGTAATATAGTCTATCCCTGCAGGGCCGCTGGACGGAAACAGGACGCGTTTCCATCCAACCGCCTTTTCATATCTCTGGACGATGCATTTTCTCTGTTATAGACAAGTGAGCATGGTGCCACTATGTTTGTAATAAACTTGGACAGCTGTATTTATTGTGACCCTTCTCGAAGCAGGGGTAGAGCAGGCGCGAAGGCAGAATTTCATTCGAGGGGTGAAGAGGTGGGGAGGGGCAGATTTTGTGTGTGTGTGTGTGTGTGTGTGTGTGTGTGTGTGTGTGTGTGTGTGTGTGTGTGTGTGTGTGTGTGTGTGTGTGTGTGTGTGTGAGAGAGAGAGAGAGAGAGAGAGAGAGAGAGAGAACTGAGAGCCGGGTGGGTAGATGCGGTCGAGCGTCATATTGTGTTCTATATGCCATGTCAACAATAAAACGGGGGAGGGGGAGCGGGCATGGTGTGCCAGCTCCTTGTTACGCCACTGACTCGAAGACTTCCTGTCTACCGTTTCTTTTTTTTCCCCACTGATATCTGCCAAGTCAATAGAAGAATAACAATTGTTGTTGCGGTATTTCATCCCAAAATCATGACATGTTACGAGCGAGGCCGCAGTGGAGAAATCGGATATTTTTTTCGACCACCCGCGGTTTTTTAGCGTGTCACCTAAGTTTAAGTTCACTGTCCTCTAGCCATATGCCTCCTACGAAGTGCGGCCGCCACAGCCAGGATTCGATCCCGCGACCCCGGTGAAACGTTTAGTCCAGCATAAACGAAGAACACGAAGGTGGGGCAACGACACGAAAGATGCTGAAAGCTCCAGTGAAGACAGGAGAGAGGGTCAATACAATCGACTTTTTAAGAAAGAAAGAAAAACAAAGGAAGACGGTTACAGCCTTCGAGTCGTCTTAAGCGAATCTGTAAGAATTAAAGGACCCTGGAACCTCTCTAATCGCGGACGTACGCAAGTAATATCAAAGGTTATTAAACGTTCTCACAGCGTGCTCACTCGAGCGTTATAAACCGGGACTGCGTAGTAACGCGAAATAGCTGTTAACGATGTTACGAATATATTTATCACTTTCGCGTAAAGAGATCGCTGGAAATAACGCGTGATTTATCGCTGCGGAAGACCGACCCGACAGTTCTGTAGCTACTCAGAAGGCGGTAGACGCCAAATAAATGAGTTGTGGTAAATAAAGCTTTCTTGTTATTGCGAGAACGGCGAGTACGAAGTCCGCTAATGGAAACCGTCCAACCCATTCGTGCCAACAACAGCCGGCTGTACACTTTAATCAGTCATCGCTTTGAGAGACAAAAACAACTAAATAATCATTCGCGTATAGTATTACATGTATTACGCGCAGCAGTTAGAAGAGCACCAAAATGCGAAAAGATAAGTACAGTCGAACGCGTTTTATCACGCGTATGACATGGGGTAATTAGTCCTCTCAATATAAAAATCCTTTCATTTATGTATTTATATCTTGTATTTGAGCCATGCTCCGCTATG